TATATCGGTCGTTGCTTTAGGAACTTGATTTTTCGTGCTCGACAACATCTCCCACTATGGCTAAGTAAAGAAATAGTGAAAACTATCAACAGTTCAATATTAGACCACTTGGTGCAAACCGGCCACAAAGCCAGCCAGCGTTGAAGAATCCTTCTCTATCATGTACCGGGTGCCTAATAAATTGTCAAAATCATCGAAGCACCGCATGCTCCAAACAGCAGAGACAATTGCGATTTGCCTCAAACAACCTGTGCTCTTTGTTCAAAAGAAGCAAGTCCAGCCAGCTATTACTGCCCTAGCCGGCCTTCAGTAGAGACGATAAATTCATGAATTTGTAATATTATCTTTCCTAATTTCTCTGACATTCAGTCTATTTTATGTTGATGCTTTTGAACTGTAATCCATTGATATTATTATTGATTCGATGTTATTTAAACAACATTAATGTTGTTCATAACACCAATTCATTCATTGACTATAATGTGTACATAACTGCAGAGCCTGATGTTGAAGTTATCGAAAAGAGTACTCTTTGTTCAGTATCCATTCTTTTGAAAATAGCCGATTATTTACAAACTAGATACGGTGGAGAACATTCATAACTCAGGTAGATGGTTTTTATGTAGCAGTTGTGTTTACTGCCTTGTTAAGCAATGAAAGCTTCACAAGCAAACCATCAAGTTTAGAGAAGAGAACTACATGAAAATGTTTACAAACTGAACGATGCTCAAAACGTTTGACAATTGAATAGCCTTCCTGGAATGCATAACTCCAGTGATGACAAACTGATAATCACTCAACCAAAATTCATTTTATTCACATGAGCACATTTAACTAATACTTGGTTTATCTATTTAATGGCCAAGACTATGGTGTAGTGACTATCATGTCTGCCTTGTATGCAGACAATCTGGGTTTGTCACCCAGTGGTAGAATGGTTGCCAACCACGCAAGCGGTTCACGGTTCGATTCCCAACCGACGAGCTCCTAAACCTTGCCTAGTTCGATAGCCGATAGAATGCCATGGAAAAGAAGAAGTTTAGGAGAGTGTTTAACACTCTCATCCAATAAAAACACAGCTCCTGAAACTTCTAAGAAGAAATCTTTAGACTCAACGTTGTATTAGGGATGCAGGGGAACGAAACTTAAAATGTTATATTAACTGTACTGTACTGAGAGATTGAGAAAACTGACCACACATGATGGTAAGCGAAAGTTTCCATGTATGCATCGACTCACGGAAGAAGTAGACATATCCCTCAGCTTTACAGTTCATAGCTGATGAAGACTTAAAAACATGAAGAAACAAGTACTCAATAATAGCTCTCCATAGTTTTACAATAATTCTTTCCGTTGATACAAATTCATGAGGAAATCTACTGAGAAAAAGATAGATCACGACGAGTTTCACTATTCATTGACATTCGTTTAATGACTACTGACGGACGACAAACAACCGATAGATAAATGAATCAGAGGTTTAATGACTGAAAACACATATAATCATGTTATACAAAATGAGAAAATCACGAGAATATATGTAAAGGATTCACCAGAATTTAGCAAAATATGTATATATATTAGAAGTTAATGAGATTACCTCGATGAGTCATCTGTGTAACTGACAGAGAGAGGGAAATACAGTAAACTAATTTTACAATTCCGATAGCATTACTTAACACTGACCATATCAAAAATGGATAATAAATGAAGTAGTTTATGTTTTTCAGTGAAAATAAATCAATAAAACTATTGATAAACAATATTATTATCAAGGTTAAATGAAAATAAAAGGCTTTAAAAGTTTAAACGACAAACGTGACAACCAAAAAGATTGAAAAAATATATATATTAAAATTCATCAGCCCTATAGCGGTTGGTTAAATTTAAAATGTTATTTGCTAAACACAATTCTAATATATGAACGCATGAAGTGAAATCTTCTACGAGAAGACTGATAAAGCAAAAGAATGCTCAGTTGACAGTTATCGAAAAGTCAACAAATGAATTATCATCATGATTTTGTGACTAAATGATTGACTGAATGAATTTCAACATCGGACTTTGCAGAGAAGTATAGCGGTTCAGGTTGCCCCACACTCCATGAAGCCCACGAAAGCATGATTTTGTGACAGTATATGGCACTAAAAGTGAACACTGAAGATGAATGTCACAATATCGAAGTTTATTCAAGGCTAACATCTATCCTGGAAGTCAACAGCACTCAGCATCAAAAATAACATCCGGATTTTCAACTCCAATGTGAAGTCAGTCAGTGCTACTCACTATACGGATCAGAGACTTGCACTGCGCGTCATAAAGAGCATCTCAAACAAACTTCAAACCTTCATTAACACTTGTCTTCGCTCAATACTCAAGATCAGATGGCCCGCCAGAAAAGATCAGCAACAGGGATCGCTGGCAGTGAGCGAACCAACCCAGCAGGAACCGATTATGGAACAAATAGGCAGGAGGATATCGAGATGGATTGGCCATATCCTGAGGAAACCATCAAGTCTCTCTGTCTGTCTGGATTCAACATAGAACTTGGCACCGAAGTGCAGCAGTTCGAGTTGCCACCATCAAGTGACATCACTAGACAAGCCATTGCTCGAGTGGAACCCGAAAGAGAAGCGGCGAGTTGGTCATCCAAGTGTGACTTGGAAGAGGTCATGCGAGGAGGAGATGAAAGCATGTGGGCAGACTTGGAGTGGGGTGAAAAAGTTGGCAGAAAACAGAAGGCAATGGAGGTGCGCAGCTGAAGCCTTACGTTCCTCTAGGAACTAAAGGATATAATAATAATAAATAACATCTATCCTAGTGACCTTCATCAATTTTCGGAACTTTGGTGTCCCACAACCATGCGGTGCATATATATATTGACCAAATCAAGATTCACCAATGAATATAAAACTTCATTAGTCAAATACATTCACCAGTTGCGAAATTACTTATCCCTGGCTATTCAGACTTGTTCTACAGATCTCAACAACTATAATAATAAGAACTCTGATGTAATGATCAGCTAATCTAGGTAGATTAATTATTAAACAATTACAAATGCTCTAAATAATGAGTTTTTTCCTTCACGTTCCCAGTGAAACATAGGACTTCAAGCTAGTGGCTTGAAGTTTCTGTAGCAGTGTTTAATTTTACAGGATGGGATTGCTAGCCTCATGCCCAACCTTTCCTCCTTATCAGCTTTATTTCTGGCTTAGCGAGGTAAAGGAGTGCTCTGGCGGCCGGGGATCGAACCCCGGACCATGTGCATGGTCGGCGAGCGTCCTAACCGCTGTGCCACCGACGCTAACTAATGAGTTGAGTCATGCGAAATGCATGATATATTCGAAATCGATGGTTTGCTACTTTAAGACATAATTCAATCAGAATTAATTGTAGCGAGGTGGATGTGTTCGTCCTCCAGCTTCATGTAAATGCTGATATGACACACCTTCTCAACCTTCTTCCCCTTAGCTTTAAACAGCTCTGTCTTTCATTCCCTAGGTATTTAAAATAATATGTGTTTATATTAACCCATATATGGATAATGCCTCTATCTAAATTTCAAAGTTAAATGTGAATACAGGCAAATGACAACAGATTTATTTATAACTGTGCTTGTGATAGTTGTCAACTCCATACATTTCTCACTTTAAAAGAAATCCTTTAAGTATTGATGGGATTATATATCGGATCCCAATGGAGTGATGAAGGAGGCAAGCATGATAAAGGAAGCCACTAAAACTCAATATCACCAGTTGATGACTATCCTCACATTTGGACCAGGTGAATCCAACCAGTCAGGCAATATAGACCCATAAATCACTTAAAAATTTCAGATTTATTGAATGTTTGAAGAACTTCCAGCACACAAAATGATACAGATTCAAATCAAGTATTATTCAAACACTTATTCTCCCTTATGAATTAGAATAAAGCGAGAACAATGATTTGTGAAAAATAACATTGTACCATCCTTTATTTCGTCAGCTTCTAATCAGCTGTACGCAGCCTAAAGAAATTGTTACACTTGTGTACAGAACTAACCGTAGATAAATAGTTCAATTCGCCTTTAAGTTTACCAAAACTATGGCTATCGTGCGTCGGTGGCACAGAGGTTAGGACGCTCGTCGACCATGCACATGGTCTGCGGTTCGAGCCCCGGCCGCCGACGCACTCCTTTACCTAGCTAAGTCAGAAATAAAGCTAGTATAAAGGAAAGGTTGGGCACGAGGCTAGCAACCCCATCCTGCTAAAGAAAATTCAGGCCTGTAGCTTGAAGCCTTATTTTCAACTTGGAACGTGAAGGAATAGAAACAATGGCTATGACACACCTGAAACCCGATTTGTGTTTTCAGAAAGAAGTATTTATCAGTTTTTCCTTGCCCTGGTAACTGGATGTCTTTATTGCGTCCTTTATTTAATTAATTACGTAAACGTCGGTTTTGATCTCTTCCCCCTAACTACAACGTAATTTCGCTTGTTTCTTGTTCTCATAAAGTTTGAGTTGAACTTACCAAATTGTTAGCCAACTTATTAGTTATTCATCGTCTTATCCATCTTGTGACTTCATTATGCAACTGCACTGCCACTGTATCCCAAGCCCTTATCTATTTTTTGTTTAAACTTGAATCATCTGTGTCGAAGTAAAATCTCTGAGCACTGTTTATTAAGTTTGGAGTCTCCTATCAACTGACAACATGTCACATTTGCAAGTATGTTAAAATTGTTCTGTGCATATACTTAACAATTTCTTTAGGCTCTACGCGCAGCTGATGAGAAGCCAACGAAATAAACAATGACACCATCGTATTCTACACAAACCGTTGTTCTCGTCTTACTCATGCATTTTTGTCATTAGGAAAGCTAATCGGAGAAAAAGAAATCAACGATTATACACAACAACAAAAAACACACAAAACCTCACTGACTACTCTAATCATTATTACATCATGAAATAAAGGTGAATATATATAACTTGACAGAACTGATTGACTCACTTTTGAAATCCAATAAAATCTTCATGATTTGTATTCATGTAGGCTAGTTGAAAATCAATTAATGTTTTAATTTGTTGTTTAGTAGCTATCTCTAATTCACGAACCCGCATATTAACAATACGTTCAATCTCTTCACGAAGTCGTGGAAATCGTCCTACCTGAATGAATAATCAATGTAAAGAGAAAGTTATGTCATAAAACTATGCATAGAATGGTGATAAGAGAGGTAGAGATAATAATAATAGTAATAATAGTAAAAAGAATAATTAACAGATGGTGAGATGATGTTTATAAGATAGAAATTTATGACAAGTGTTATATCATCATAGACATTTATAAATGCCACTACACAAATACAACACACACAAACAGACATGCAAACTGACAAATTTAGAAAGCAGTAAGCTTTATAACTAACCATAATAATACGCTTAAATCAATACAGATGTAGGAGAAAGGATTCGCAAAGGCAACAGGAAATTTAAGGTGAGTGAATCCACTCAAATAGTTGACCGATGGGGTTGCATCAAGTAGTGTCGATCACTTATCACAGTCCGTTTCAACAGACATTGCTAAGTGGTCGTGCTATGTCAGGAATCGGCAGAAGTTAGAATTCATGCGTTGGTCGCTGAATTGGGTCACAGTGGCTTAACGGTCTACGAGCTAGCTTGCCTTGTAACTAGAAGGTCCGGGGTTCGAACTCCGGCGGGTGCGTACTGGTGGAGAGTTCCAAACTAGGACGAAACGTTTAGCATGATGACATCCTCCAATCAATTCTATAATTCTTGGTTTCAAACACATAAAAGTGGAAGAACAGACAGCGGCTTTAATCTATTTTATGATTTAAAAAGATAACCCATAGAATCGGTATGATTTTTAATGCTTTCAATAATTGAGCAAAGAACATCCTTTTCGATAAATTCCTCTTCTGGCTCTACAATTATATATGTATATGTTTATATACATAGAATATTCTAGATTAGTCGTGCGTCGGCAGCACAGCGGTTAGGACTCTCGCCGACCATGCAAATGGTCCGGGGTTCGATCCCCCGCCGACGCACACCTGATATCTATGGTCGGCCTGCAAAATTTGGGCTACCGATATCATATACTGAAAATTCCATTTCAAGCTATAATCAAAAAATAACAATATTAGTGTTGTATAAATAATATCGATTTGTAAAGTAAGATTAATGGAATTACAGTTCATTAAAGATGCTTAAATTATAATAATAATAATAATAATAATAAAGACAAAGTAGCAAATAGAATATCAACTAAAATTAGGAAAATTCCACAAAATTAAGGATCATTCAAACCTAGATGGCCAACGTAAGGATAATGTCTGAAATAACTAACTAACGAATCTCAATTTTGCCTTAAGAGTTCGACTACTAAATATTGCTGAGGTAAACCGTCGGGATCCAATTTAACAAGCCTAATATATGCATCCAAAAGAAGTTAATTCAGACATTATCCTTACCTTGGCCATGTAGGTTTGAATAATCCTGAATTTTTGTGGAATTTTCTTAATTTTAGTTGATATTCTATTTGCTACTATATCTTTATTATTATTATTATTATTTGAGCATCTTTAATGAACTGTAATTGCATTGATCATACTTTACAAATCGATATTATTTAAAAAACACTAGTATTGTTATTGACTACTATTCTAGAATATTCTATGTATATAAACATATACATATATAATTGTAGAGAGCCAGAAGAGGAATTTATCGAAAAGAATATTCTTTGCTCAATTATTTTGTGTTTATAGAGGTCTGAATGAAAACTTTCAATAATGATTGAGTACTTTTCACATTTTCATCGATAGTAATATTAACCTTTTTAAATCTTTTAAATATGCAAAAATATCTTGTTAATTGTTTTGCAAAAATGTGGCGATGTACTATCCCCCAATTCTATCGATATTGTCTTGTTTTAAAAATAATTTATACACTTCTATGCAGTGTATTTATTTATGATCCTACAGCCTAGAATGCAAACTAAGCCCGCGTATACAGCATACCGTAAGAGTAATACCATAATAATAGTAACAATAATAAGCTAGGCAAGACTTTTACAACCGATTATTGTTTTGCCTTTCTCAGCATATAAGCTTAGAATGCGAGAATGTGAAGAAAAAGTGGCTATAAGTAATGACCAGTACTCACTCTTATATGAGTCTTTCTATGACAGCATAACAACAACTACTGAGTTAGAGAAAGAAATAAACACGCAAACAACTAAAACTACTATCACAACAACAAAATGAATGGTATTCTTAAAACTTGGAATGAAGAAATAGTCATAGGATAGATACTCACACACAAAAACACACACACAACACATGAAATTATTCCCCCTCATGATATAACAGTACACCAAAAAACTAAAGATAATTTTACAAAAGAAATAATTCATGAATTAATTATTTTATAAGAAATGATAAAGAAAAATAATGTTATCAGGTGTGTTTACATAATGCAGCAAAAAAAAGAAAAAGAAAAACCAGTATTATTTGGTTAGTGTTCACAAAGCTTTCAGATTCGATAGTGATTGTTTTATCCACAAGCTTGACAACATTCTAAGCATTAACAGAGTAACAATAGAGAAAGGAAAGAAACCAATGCAGCACAGTTATCCATTTGTTAGTGTATATATTTTAGAAATTTGAGAGGAAATTGCACACCAAAGGTGTAAAGCATCTATTTACCTAACTTTTATGACGTAATGAAGAAGCGAGAACAATTTACAGTCTAGTGAATGACAATTAACAATGGAATTCAGGATGCACATTTCCTCCCATTTTGGACTCGTCAACTGGATGTACTTGCATTCCCTAGTGAGTGTTGGTGTTCCCAATGGGACTCGAACCAAGCAGCGGCCCTGGTGGATAATGCTTTGTCGTTTAAAACGATGGGTGTTTTTGATTTGAGTCTCAGTGAAGACACCATCACTTATTAGGGAATGCAGGTATATCTAGCTGACGAGTCCTAAATAGGATGAAACGCTCAGCCTGGATTCTACTGTTAATCACTACCCATCGAATTACTCCAAGTTAATCCGCGGACATCATCGAAGTCTCCATATACTAGGAGACGATATGTCAACAGAGGTCAAGCATTTCTGTGCAATCAATCAACGGGAAAATTACGCAAATATACATAGAATAGATGTTATTTATTATTATGTGTATTATTTTTACATTACGACATTAGAGTTAGTAAGACAACAAAAGCACTGATGAAGAAGAGCATTCGTAGACACGCACAGACAACACATTCGTTCGGCGGCTAACAATAAACATCAACAACACTGTCGTACATACACTAACTAACACTTTGTTTGTTTGAGAATGGTATTATTATTAGAATTCTGCCAAAAACAAAACGTGTATAATCTGATAACAAATGGATAAGAGAAGAGAAGAAGAAGAAAAAGGTAACACCATTAACAATATCTACAGTAACTAACCAAGAGAGGGGGGGGGTTAACTCTGTTACTTGATAGTAAAGCAGCATATACGAAAAACTATTAGTCTTAAATATAATTCGATGAAACGTGACTTGTTAAAATGACATCATTAAAGAGAATATAAATATATATATATATATATATATAATCACAGGACACCATGAGTTAAGTAGTACAAAAACTAACATTTAAAAATAAGAATAGAGGAAGTTATGAGCATTTAGTAAAAGAAGAAAATAGGCATCAGACTTTGAAGCAAGTCGAATTCTATGATTCCAGATGTCATTGGCAGTACGCACACACCACAATTCGTGATTTAGCGCAACCCCAACCAGTGTCATCGGTGGGACATCCATCCTCACACGTGACATCTGGATGGAGCTCATTGGTCACGACTTCTTACCAGAACTCCAAGAAACTCCATCCTGTAGCAAGTCACTAGCGAGCATCACATTAATTTTCTATAATTTGGTTTGTAAGGGTTAGTTATGTTTTTACGAGTTGAATTGGGTCCCAGTGGCCGAATGGCACACGAGCTTGCCTTGTAACCGGAAGGTCCTGGGTTCGAATCCTAATGGGTGCGTACTCCCGATGATTCCTAAACTAGGATTCCGGATGTGTTTGATAGACTGTTTGCTAAATGTTCAATTTGGGTTAATCATAGCGGTCTGTTTAAAATACTATAATGTTTATGTCTGTTACGCAGGAACCCCTTGTGTAACTGTCATGATCTTACATGCTACGAACGTGTATGACTGACAACTAATAGATAAAATGATTTTGGTTCTACAGTCTTTTATTCACCTTCATTTGTACTATTGTGATGAGAGCTGGCTAGCTAGCCAAAAGTGGTAGGTAGTAATTTACGCCAATTTGTCCCCAATATTCGTCATGGGAAAAATAAGAACAAATTTTTTTTTTTTGATTTACAGCTTGATTCCACACTGTATTTTTGGTACAAGTATGGAATTTTCAGCATGGATATCGGTAGCCCAAATTTTGCAGGCCGACCATAGATATCAGGTGTGCGTCGGTGCGGGCTCGAACCCCGGACCATGTGCATGGTCGGCGAGAGTCCTAACCACTGTGCCACCGACGCACAGACTGACTCAACAACCCATCACAGCAGACTTTGCGTAGGCGGATACAATTCGCAGATAGATAATCTGAACTTCAAAAAACGGCCACAAAGAGATGAAAGATTAAAGTTCAGCGAGAAACCACCAATCAGAAGACTGTGTTTGTTTGCTTACAATAATCTATAATAATGTACATGAAAATCTATAAATATGTGTTGATTTCCGTAATAAACGATCTGTTGACTGGCCCTTGTCTTTTGTTCTTACACTATGACCACTTTATTTTGGACCTTGTAAATTACTATGTGACTTAAAATATACATTGTAAGCGCTGACTGACTAACACATTATGCTCATTTTCTGCCACATTAGCTGATATCATGCAATCCGTCCTAAGGAACAAAACTACAGAGCCAACAGATAGTGTAGATGTTTTTTCCGTCCATTCATTGGTGTTCCAAGTGGAAAATACGGCCTCAAGCTTCAGTAGCGGTGATGCTATTTCTTTATTAAGGGCTGGAGTTGCTAACCTCTCTCCCAACCTCCCCTCTTTATCGGACTTGCTATCAGCTGATTGAGGTTTAAGAGTGAGTCAGTCGGGAGTCAAACCCCGAATCACGTGCATAGTTAGTTGGTGAGCATTTTACCACTAAACCACCGGCCCCTATCCACTACACCACAGTACAAGCATTGCTTAACTATATCAAGGCGGCCGGATATAAAACAAAGCTAAAAGAAGTGGTGACCAGTAGGGTGAAGCACGTCGGGTGTGAGGACAAATACTCACCGAAGACATTGGCTAGCGGTTGCGCTATATCGTGAATTGGCAGAAGTTAGAATTCATGCACTGGCCATTGGATCGGGTCCCAGTGGCTTAATGGTATACGGGCTAGCTCGCCTTGTAACCAGAAGATCCTGGATTCGAACCTCGGTGAGTGCGTACTGCTTAAGGGTCCCAAGCTAGGACGAAACAGCTGTTCAGTACTCCCAGGCTTTCCAATGGTTCTCTAACCAATGTCAGCTCATGATGAAATCCTGTAACCAATCAACCAAATACCTACAAACCAATACTTGAACAGCTAAAAGGATAATCAAAGCCGAAATAAGTAATAACCATTAGGCAAAACAAATATGCATCAAAATCAGCTATGGAGATTACCACAGGCATCAGCCCACAGAAATTATGCACACACCAATGTATACTTAGATTACAAGTTAAATATGTTCTTTCAGCATTCCTAACAGTTAATTACCTACCACTGAGACGACGAAAAAAACCATACTTCGCTGAACCTAAATCGATTTAGGTAACCAGGAGGTGCAGTGAATATTGACAAAACTGTGATATTATAAATCCAATTTACTGCCCACTCACCTTATCGCTACAGTGCTGCAAGACATCTGTCAGTCTAGATACAACCATATCAACACATTTTAGTGACGGGATCCGAAGTCTTTCAATCTGTTTCTTCACTGTAGCATCGAATGCCATATCAGGGGTGAATAATCCAGGCCTTAATTAAACACAGAACAAACAGCGAAATGCAATTAGTGGGTATAATACAATAGCAATATGGCAGTAGTAATAATTACTAACATTATTATTATTCGTGGTATTAGGAGTAGTATTGTTTTGAATGCCAAAAACCAAAATGCTATTGAAAATTTTACATAAACCTCGAATATATGATTACAAAATGTCAGTTCAATACTGTTACAAAAATAAAAACCATTTTATTACACACTAACAATGCAATTACACAGCAAATAATAAAGTAGTTAACAAGTCTGATCTGTTATTTTGGTCACAATTTAAGGTATACACAATGTCTAGTACTGTCTACAATAACAGCGATGGTTAGTTAGTCTCGTGTACCTGTGTATCCAATATCTAAATATTAGCTCTAGAGGTATCGCTAACACCATAGTGACTAAATAAAATATGCTATAGCTTCAAATCCATGCCATATTTGAAGTGTATCAGAAGTAAATGTATACAACGGCTTCCATTGAGGTAGGAATAAAGTACAAAAATTATTATTATTATTGTTCCCTTGGGTTCCTAGTGGAACAAAGGGATTCAACTGCACGTCTCCACTTGCTTCTGTCTTCCTTCTCCTGTACTTTTCACCTGCATCCATGTTACTCCATACTGTTTCAACTCCTCTTCACTTTACACGATCTCCTCCATATCACCCTCGGACATTCCAGTCGCCGCTTCCCCTTCGGCCTGGTTCTACTCGAGCAATGGACTGACGCGCGCGGGATGTCACCCAGCGGCCTCCTCGGTGAGTGTCCAATCGATCTCCACTTTCTCCTCCATATTTGTTGATTGGCGATTGCTTCTTGGTTTGTTTGTTCCCAGCCATAGTTTCTTGTTGGTGATTCCTTCCGGCCCGGCCATCTGACTGATCTTCAGCATAGAGCGAAGACAGTTGTTGATAAAGGTCTCCAACAGGCTGTTGGAAATATTCTTTGTAACCCGCCCGCCCGCCAAGTTTCTGATCCCTAAAGAAGAACTGACTGACTTGACGTTTGTATTGAAAATCCGACCGAATTTTGTTGTTGATGCTGAGTTGAGTGATGAAGATTTCCAGATTGATTTCAGGCTGATGAATGTGTTTCTCGCCTTCCCGATTCTCGCTCGATTTGACATCCTCGTCCGTTCCTCCTGTATTTGAGAAGGACAATGCTCCCTAGATAAGTGAATGAAGTAACCTCTTTCAAATCCCTCCCGTTGAAGGTGATTGGCGCTGGATGTTTCTGCCGCTGTTGTTGTCAGTGTTGTTGGTTGGTTATTTTCATAACCTCCGTCTTGTATATGTTCACCTGGAGTCCTGTCTTCGCCGACTGCTTCTTCGACCAGTTTGTCGGTTTTCGCTTGTAAGTCTTCGATTTTGTGTGACATCAAACATAAATCATCCACGCGCGAAATCCAGGTCTTCTAGGTTCTTCACATCGGTCCAGGATATCCCTGTCCCGCTTCTCGTTTCCGCATAATCCATTAAACCACAATTAGGAATATCATTGGTGATAGTAAGCACTCTTGTCTGACTCCTGTGTTTATTCCAAACACCTCACTGAGTTTTCCGTTGTGGATCACTTGACATATGCCGTTGTCGTACAACTGTTGAATAAGGTTGATGAATATTTGGGTTACGTCGTAGTACTCAAATAGTTTCCAAATTACTTTGCGGTCAACGCTGTCGAAGGCCTTCTCAAAGTCTATAAAGTTGAGGTAGAGGTTTGATTGTCATTCCATGCTTTGTTCGATGATGATGCGTAAAGTTGCAATTTGGTCAGATGATTTGCCTTTCCTGAATCCAGCTTGTTCTGGTCGGAATTCTGTATCCCGTGCGTCCTTTATTTTTTCCAGGATGATGCGACTCGGAATTTTACTTGGCGTCGACAGGAGCGTGATTCATGGCCATATATATATATATATATATATATGGGTACACTAAAAATTCAGTGACCAAACAAACCTCTGTATGCAGGGTTCACGATTTTCTATGTGGACCACCAATCCTTCTGTATTTCGATTTGTACTCCTTTCACAAGATCTCCGTGTACTCTGTAGATGACTCTGACGTTGGTTTGCGAGTCTCCTCGGTGTCCAGAATCAATCAGCTGTTCCAGAATACAACAGTGGGGGATGGTTTTCTTCTTTGTAAAACCATAAAAGCAAATATTCGATGGTACAGGTGAATGGCAAACAATGAGTACGATCAACATACCTAGCTCCAAATGAGCAGGTGGATTGATAGACGCACATTGATGATGCAAGCAGTGATAACTCATCCTTTGCGTTTATACGAACCATTGGTTGTTTGTTTTTTGGTTTTTTGAAGACAAATTGTGTGCAGTCTTAGTGGTATAGGCTCCATAAAAATTTTGTGGTGAAGTTTTTGGGCAGCCATTTTCAATGGCAATCCTCTTTCGAATATTCAACTTCTCTTCCATGATATAATGGCTGCAAATGTTGCGGATTTCGAAGCTCAATCAGCGGATCATATTTCGTTTAGTATACAGAGACACCTAACTGTGTAATTTTGTGATTTGTACGTCCTATGTTAGCTTCCCGTGGATGGACGCTTTTGATGTTCCATCCTCACGCTTTTTGAGTTGAACATTCAGGAAGGTTATTTTTACCCGATTAATGTCTACTGTATTATGTAACTATAACCTAAAACTTAAGATTCTAATGATGCATCTTTGGAAATATTCCTTTTTTGCTAAGAAATTTCACTACATATACGCGACTGTAAGGTTTAAAGATGATACAGGTGAAAAGAGTAACAAATAAAGTTTTTCATAGATCTACTCCAAGGTTAGGCACCTTTATTTTGATGAAAGTAAGAATATGAATGGAGGTCTGAAATGTACGTACAATGTACGAGACTGGAAAGGTTGCTCATTTAGCCGAAGAAATGAGGGGATGTGGTGTAGAAGTACTCAGAAAAAACCACGAGTACACTGAAAGAGTGGTTATCATGATGTCACCAATGGCAAAGATCTAATCAAGCTGGAACCAATCTTCTGCGGGATTATGACAGCAAGATTCGACTCAAAAGGAAGAAAGAAAGGTTATAATTATCCAATGCTATGCATCTACAAACAACGCGGAATAAGAGCAAAAGGAAGATTTTTACAAACAATATACCAAATGGTGACATCAAAATCCTTATGGAAGATATGAATACCAAATTAGGAGCAGATAATACGGGAAGAGAATTCATCATGGATCGAGAGGCTGTCGCTCGCAGAAATGAATGAGAGAGGAGGACTATTTGCAGACTTCTGCACTTTCAATGATTTGGTAATCGAAGGCAGTGTGTACTAGCACAAGGATATACACAAACCAACATGGATTTCAGCTAAAGGACACACCAGAAACCAGATAGATTTCATCGCAATACTGCTCAAGGAAGTGGAGAGGCAGCCAATCTGCTGGACAAAAAGTTGGCAGTTGGCAATGAGTCGCACGTATTGTGTGTAAGAGCTGGTTATACTATCCTGGACTGCGCAAGCCTGAGTGAGTAGAGCGGGTCTCGAACCCGTGGACTACTGGATGGAAGTGTCAGCAGCCTGGATCAAGGAGCTAGCTACACAGTCCCACAGAGTCATATGTGATTGACGACGTGCAATTATGTTCATCTTTACGTTCAAAACTATAAGACAAATATCAGTGAAACTATCTCGATTATATATATATTTTTTAACATATTTTGTTATCTGACAGATCACATTTATAAATATCATCCGTTTGTCCAAAATCAATAATCCTACAAATTGATTTCTACACCACATCTAAACTATTCACTAAACAAAAAATCAATCCAGTTTCGTCAAAGAAAGATGTTTCTTTATTGGTGAATAAGCATCACAAAATAAAAATAATAAGAACAACAATAAAACGATATCAGTATTTAACCTATGGATGGATAATGTTAAGTCTGAAGAAAATTTCTTTAAAAAAAAATGTAACCTACCTAACACCATGAATATTTTGGATAGCAACAGCAATTTCTTTTCTCAAGGTTTTCTCATCGAACTCAATCTTGAAGAAATGAAAGAGGAAAAAAGGCATCTTATAAGTAAATAAGTAGTAGAGTGCAGCAAAAGTAATTTTAAAAAAAAGCCTCGCACATAGAAGAAATACTTCACTGGAATATAGGCAGAAACAGACTAGCTTTTATTGGACACTAGTAACTAGTGTGATCTTTCTAGTCCTATCTTTGGTGCAGACTGAATTCTATCAGTCAGTCAGGTTTGCATAGTGGCCACCATTCTAGGTAGCTCTCCATCACGGTGCACATTGATTTGAAGATATTAGATGGTTGGCGGCAATCGGCCATAGGAAGCCTTGAACCTAGGTTTCGTGCTAATTGGCACTCACCAGTCAGCAAGGCGTATCTGTGACTTTGGAGGAACTTATGTCCCTTCCGAGATTCAAATCCGTGTCACCCAGCGCTGCAGTCAGAGACGATACCACTGAGCTATTCGGGCTCGCGATTGACCTCCTGTAGGACTGTAGTGGATACTTTGATTGGACACTAGTAACCAGTGTGATGTGTCCACTACAGTCCTGCAGGAGGTCAATCGCCAGTCTGAATAGCTCTGTGATAACGTCTCTGACTGCAGCACTGGGTGACACGGATTCGAATCTCGGAAGGGACATGAGTTCCTCCAAAGTCACAGATACGCCTTGCTGACTGGTGAGTGCCAACTAGCACGAAACCTAGGTCCAGGGCTTCCTATGGCCGATTGCCGCCAACCATCTAATATCATCAGAAATAGACTATGCCACCAAACACAATCAAATGTTTTCTTGATTTTCAAAGGAGAATTGATCTAGGAACTGCAGCTTGTAACTGAATGGAAATGTTTTCATAGATTGTGCCCTGAGTTTATCTAAACTGTGCAACAAGTGATAAGCTTTTTGTTAGGAATTTGTCAAATAAATGTAATTGAGTAGTGAAGATTAGTCTCTGTTGTTTATACTTCAGTTTACTAGCTTCCTCTACTGAAATGTCATAGACTTAGAAACATTCGTGCCACATAAATTCAGCTTGTAAATTACCTAATGTTAAGGAAACATGGAACGATGTTTAACTATTCAGCTAAATAAGGCGCTCATAGCATTATGTTTCCCAAAATCATCTTCAGTTCATTACAACTGTGATTACTTATATATATGCAATATATATTAGTGCTGTACCTGTACGTTACTCTTTGATCCAATAGCATGAAAACCATCTCTACATAAGGAGCAGTACCAGAAGTTCTTAACCCCTCATGCATCCCGGATCAATAATTAGGATAACAGTGAAGAAGACTTAAGTGTGTTAAGATTAAAGCATGCCATTAGTCGACGAGGTCACTAAATAATTATTGGTCTGAACTGCATAGAAAGGCGTAGACTACCTGACTCGAGTCCTGTAAACATTAGAAATTAACGAATGATGAAATGGTTTAAAACCATCTATAATGGTGCAGGTATATTCACTTCTCGTCGTCTCACAAGTTCAGAAAGTATTCACTTATCTTTATTTAATTACACATAGACACGCACTTCTTCTAATACATATATATATATATATAGTCTAGAACTGTTGTGTAACAGATCGTGGTGCCACATCCAAATGTATATAGGTGAAATAAAGGAAGAACTGAAAACAATGCAATCAGAGGACATAGAAGAGTAAAACACAAACAAGAGGAGCACAAGCATATGATATTATTATATATTATTATCCTCTTCGAGTTCCGAGTAGGACATAAGGCTTCAACAGCACAACCCCATTTCACTCTGTTCCCTGTAATCTTTTTAGCCGGCACTACGACTGTCCATAAGCTCACGTTTCCCCCTCACATGACCTCCTTCATTCTATTCTCGAACGCCTAAATCGCCGTTTCGCATTAGTGTTCCACTCTAGGGCCGGCCTGGAACGTAATGTCACTCAACAGTCACCTCAGCTAGACACCATACCAAAACACCTGAACTGCGCTACAGGCAATCATGCACCATATCACTTTCAGTCTTTAATCATTGTTCTTTATAAGAAAACAATTTCACTCTCCTGCACAATTCAGATCATTAATTGATAAGTGAATATCGTATAAAGAAACTGCTGTTGCTGAACTAAAAAGAGACTGTTTATTTCATGGCTTTATACCACAGTAATTTCTTTAATAAACACAGTACCAACAATCAACAACAGTGTGAAATAAAGAAAACTCAAAATAAAATCTCGTTCCCAGTTTGATCACGAGTTGATATCAGTTAGAGAATCACTGAAAATCAGGGAGTGCTATAGACAGCTGTTTCGTCCCAGTCCGGGACTCATCGTTAGTACTCATCCACCACGTTTCAAACCCAGGACCACCTTCTGGCTACAAGGCTAGCTTGTAGACCATTCGGCCGCTGGAACCTGATCCAATGGCCCATGAATTCCAAATTCTGCCAATTCATGATATACCGCGACCACTAGCAAATGTCATCAGCGAGTATTTGCCCTAACATCCGAACTACTGTACCCCACTCATCACGACAAATACTCGTTGATGACATTCGCTAGTGGTCACATTATATCCTGAATTGGCAGAAGTTGGAATTCATCGATCATTGGATTGGGTCCCAGTGGCTCAATGGTCTACAAGCTAGCTCGCCTTGTAACCGTAAGGTCCTAGGTTCGAGCCCCAACGGGTGCATACTGACAAGCAGTCCCAAAATAGGACGAAACAACTGTCCAGTACTTCCAACTGTTCCAGTGATTCTCTAACCGATGTCAATTCACGATGAAATCATGAAACCAATCAAATCCCTGCAAATCAACACTTGAATATCCCGTTTTGTATGATAAGATCTTGTAAAAATGACTGAAAATAGGCATATTAGACACATGAACTAACTACACTTCGTCTATTAAACAAAATTCATTTTACTCAATAATGAAAGCAGTAACACTAGATTACCTTAAGTAAATCATAACGAAACCGTTCATGAAACACCCGATTAATTTCAGCACCACCTGACAATGTTTGAGTATCAACTTCAGAGACATGTCCATCAATATTTTGAGAAAATTCTGCTTCAAATGACTGTACCATCCTATAGATCAAATTACAAACAAATGAGAAATGATTATTTACGCTTGAATAGTTAAAGGGTTGATGTATCATATAATTCACAGAGTTCATCACATTTTACTGATTTACGGATTAACTACAATGGAATGAATCTACATAATAATAGCCGGCAATGGAAAAAAGCTAGCGGCGGTCAAACAAAAACTTGGCATCAGTCAATGAAATCCAAAACAGTTGGTCTAAGCCACGTAGAAAGGTGTAGACTTCCAGGCTGGGGTCCTCGGGACGGTAAAAACCTATGGTTGGAAACAATTGGTGACATGGCTCAAAATCGTTCTCAGTGGCGCAGATGCATCCACTCCCTGTGACTTATGATCTTCAATGAAACTGTTTTGTATTTCTTTATTACTCCTTTGTCTCACACCTCTGCTCACTGTTTCTATTATGCTTTTCTTGTACTTTCTTCTCTTGCTTCGCGTGCTACACGGAATGTGGCGACTTGAACTTCCGCACATTTTTGCAAAGTTCTATGTCGAAAACAGACAGACAGACAGACATAATATATATATATATATATATATATATATATATATATATCCAAGACCCAACAAAAATAAAGTCGGGTTCAAACCTGTGAATTACCTACAAAATTTCAGTAGTTAAATTAGCAGATGATAAGAAGATGAACCAGGATCAGTACTCTTCTATCATAAATGTTCCCAATGAGTTATATAAAATGACAATATGCAAACACGTATTGAGGGGAAAACTAAACAATTTGTATCTCTTCACTCTATAGAACTTAGTAGATGCACTCATGAATTTAGTAGATGCCATAGTTGAGCCTTAACTAACTCGGTAACAGTATTTTTCTCGATTAAAAGGTTGATCTGTATTTCATCTTTGAAAGATAATGTAAAAGTGACTCATTATTAGGAGTTCTAGCCTAACAAATTCACAGCACAGTCAACGTTTTTGTATGATCCTACTCACACGTTTATTCATGCTGGCAACAAGTACATGAAATGGCATAAAGTCATAATCTCTGCGCTTTACTGGTTAATCACAACAAACATGAAAAGGCAAAGAAACGTAAGTCCTATGTCACTTATTTTTAAATTTACAACGGTAAAATTTTGGTAACCACAAGTTGACTTATACACTACACTATCGCTTACGCCTTCAGTTGGAATTAATGGTTGTAATAAAATGTAAACAGATGAGCTGCCTTCCAACAAATGCTGGAGTATTCATCATCTGAGAGATCAAATAAATTGATCAAAATTACGAATCAGAGTCCAGGTGATCTTAAACCATAGCAGTTGAACAACATTGCACATTTCAAAGTTATGTAAAGTATACGAAAAGAAATTGGACAGTTAGCATTACTCATATTGAGCTTTTAAAACAGAGGTCTGTTTCTCAATAATAATTTAGACACAGTTTGGTTACTCACTACAATAAATGGTGAGAAGTTGAAGCCGTAAAGCAAATCTTGTTTGACACTATTATTATTGTTCCTTTGGGTTCCTAGTGGAACATAGGGCTTCAACTGCACGTCTCCACTTGCTTCTGTCTTCCTTCTCCTGTACTTTTCACCTGATTCCATGTTACTCCATACTGTTTCAACTCCTCTTCACTTTACACGATCTCCTCCATATCACCCTCGGACATTCCACTCGCCGCTTTCCTTTCGGGTTCCACTCGAGCAATGGACTGACGCGCGCGGGATGTCACCCAGCAGCCTCCTCGGTGAGTGTCCAATCGATCTCCACTTTCTCCTCCATATTTGTTGATTGGCGATTGCTTCTTGGTTTTTTTGTTCCCAGCCATAGTTTCTGGTTGGTGATTCCTTCCGGCCCGGCCATCTGACTGATCTTCAATATAGAGAGAAGACAGTTGTTAGTTGATAAAGGTCTCCAACAGGCTGTTGGAAATATTCTTTGTAACCCGCCCGCCCGCCAAGTTTCTGATCCCTAAAGAAGAACTGACTGACTTGACGTTTGTATTGAAAATCCGACCGAATTTTGTTGTTGATGCTGAGTTGAGTGATGAAGATTTCCAGATTGGTTTCAGGTCGATGAATGTGTTTCTCGCCTTCCCGATTCTCACTCGATTTGACATCCTCGTCCGTTCCTCCTGTAGTTGAGAAGGACAATGCTCCCTAGATAAGTGAATGAAGTGACCTCTTTCAAATCCCTCCCGTCGATGGTGATTGGCGCTGGATGTTTCTGCTGCTGTTGTTGTCAGTGTTGTTGGCTGAATATTTTCATAACCTCCGTCTTGCATATGTTCACCTGGAGTCCTGTCTTCGCCGACTGCTTCTTCGACCAGTTTGTCGGTTTTCGCTTGTAAGTCTTCAATTTTGTGTGACATCAAACATAAGTCATCCACGCGCGAAATCCAGGTCTTCTAGGTTCTTCACGTCGGTCCAGGATATTCCTGTCTTCTCGTTTCCCACAGTCTGACGCATAATCCAGTCCACCACAATTAGGAATATCATTGGTGATAGTAAGCACCCTTGTCTGACTCCTGTGTTTACTTTAAACGCCTCGCTGAGTTTTCGTTGTGGATCACTTGACATGTACCGTTGTCGTTTGACATTATAAGGATAACAAAGGAAAAACTCAAAACCGTCGACGTAGTTTTGAAGAAAGTAGTCAATACTTGGGGTGTTTACAAATGCACGTAATGTGATAAAATTAGTAAGAAGAAATTTCACATGATGAAATTCTAAGTTAATAAAACAGCATAGACGCATACACCTTTTAATAAAATAAATCTTGAATAATTGATTATTTCACACCTACTCACTTTATGTTTGTATACGTTTTAAGTTTCGGCTTGAGTCACATAGGGCAGTGTAGTGTGTCTAGTTGAGGTCCTCGGGATGCTATGAAACCATGGTAGAAGACTGTTAGTAACATAGTTCAAAACTATCCCTAATGGCACAAATGTACTTTTATTTTTTTAAATTATTCTTTTACGTTCCCAGTGGAACATAGAGGTTTGAAGTTTTGGTAGCAGTGGTGTCTATTTCTACGGGATGGAGCTGCTAGCTTCATGCCCAACCTTCCCTCTTTACCAGTCTTATTACCACCTCAGCTAGGTAAAGCAGTGTGTCGGCAGGGGATCACACCACGAACCACATTTGTGGTTGGCGATCATTCTACCGCCGTGCTACCGATACATAAAGACGTATTTAATCTTTGTTATCATCTATATTCCGAAGATCCCTAGTAGTTCTTACTTAATCATCCTTTCTCCTATGCATTTTAATCCATTTTAGTTTCGTAAAATTTCTTTCCCTACTTTTATGTGTTTATTCAAAATTTACTAAAATGAATTGAAAAATTCTAAGTTGATAAGTTAGTTATGTCTTAGGTTTAGTTGATTTTAATATTCTGTACTCTTCAGTGATTTTTTTCTCCGTTTGCCATCGTACTTTGGTCATTTAAACTGAAAAAATGCCTCGCAAAAAATAGGTGATTTTTAGTCAAACATTCTGCTCAAATACTTATTATAACATCGTAGATGACCACTTGATTTATACACATCTATTGTTGAAAAACCCACTAATCTAAATAGAGTGAATTACTGCAAACTAAATAAGAGTTCAAAATTATATTTTAGCATCAGAAGATTCAATATCTGATGGTAAGGTTAAACTTTAAGCACCACCAGCTACCAATCAGGAAATGGCTTCGAAAACACCAATCACATTAAGAAGGCATTTTTGTGTGTGGAATACACATATTTATGAAAAAAATTGCATAAAAACTGTATAAAAGTCTTACAGAGGATAACTTCCTCTCACATGGGATAAAAATAGTTCTCAGTTTTAGGTTGGTGTATCAACAGAGTATAATTCCATTGTGGGTAAAATTTATTTTGATCAAGTTTCATAGTGTTATACAGCAATAATTACTGAGCAATAGATTGTGCTCGAAACGTGGTCATCAGTAAATATTACTACTGTATAACACTATGAGAATTTATCAGAATAAATTCTACCCACAATGAAATTGAACCATACCACAGTGCACAGGTTCTATTCTTATGTCAACAGAGTACTTTAACTACATTCAATGCATGTATTTATTGAGGTCTTCTAACCCTAATCTTTCCTGAACCCAGGCCTAACGAGAAAATATGACTAAACTAACCTTAATCTAACCTAAGTTAACCATAATGTTGCCTTTATTAGGTTAACCTAACCCTATCTTGTCCTTGGCCTAAACCGTAACTTAATCTTTCCCAAACCTAAGCTGACACTTGCCAGATATCCCATTGAATAGTATAGCACTTCGATGAGCATATTTTATTGATGATGACAAAATTATTTGGCAGGTTTCACTGATTTACGCAGTGAGCGTTTCAAGGTCATTGGTGCAGTTGCACTCTATTGGTAGTTAGTGGTGCTTAAAGTTTAACTTCGCCTATTTGATGTAGTACGTATCACAACTCGTCAATGGCATTAAAACATAAATGATAAGAACAAATCAGTTCAGAGTATAATTTTCAACACTTTATGAAAATGTTATCTCAAAAATATCACTTTACCAACAAGGTCGAACTTTCGATCTGGGAGAAAATAAACACTAGGTTGAGAGTAATATTTTTGACAGACAATTAATATCTTAACAATGTTAGATATTAAGATTTTACATGCAATTTTCTGTGAGTACATTTTGATATAGGATTTAATTTCTAAAAATGAGATGTTCTCTGAGCATCAGATTTAATAGGTCAGCTTGATATTTCCACAAACATAACCATTATATGTACTAGGTGTGGAATTAAGACTATTTTAACTGAAATGCCTACTTTGATTGTCGCTTATATCAAGCAACATAATGCAGATAATTGGTTAAACTACTGTGTATATGAAGCGTTTTTATTCATAATTATCGAGGGAACAGTATGATCTCAACATCATTCTCAAAGTGTAAAGTCACAGTCGGCTTTTGAATATACTTATTTTTACTTGGCTCAATCAGCCTTAGTTTAAAACAAAATAGTTGGTTACATAAATCTACATAAAAGTAACCTTGAGTAGGGGTAATAGAAAAGTGGGGATGACAAGTTAGAGTATGAAATACCTTCCACATGAAATGTCAACAAGAACACCCACCCAGTTAAAACTTCTGTAATTAAAGCTGAAAGCTTTTTCAATCATAAACTTAAAATTCCATGAAACTGGCTCTATATATCCGTTTATTAGTATAATACAGTTGAACTTTGAAATGGACAATCACAGACTTAAAGTACAAAGTTTTATGAAGGAAAAACGAGTAACTTGATAATTACTATAAATTCCTTTTTTATTTAAACCATAAACGTATATATATCACTAAACAATGGTCATTTTAAAATGGTTATTCCTTAAACTATCAGTCTTCAGATGTGATAAACTCTATAATTATCACTTTTTGCAAAGGCAGTCTACATTGTGACCTGGCGCACTTAAGTATGTGCAATCTTACCCCTATTAGTGACTTTTCAGATTTCGGGATTCTCTTGAATACTTTTCAGTCTTATATTTGGTTAACTTTTCTGTCATAAGTTTCAAAATATCTTACTTGGATCTGTCATGAATGATGCGTAGATGAAACAAATCAGTAATCATTGGAATCATTACTGTTCTGATTTCTAAATATATTTTAATTCTCACGCAAAATTGACCTAGGAATATCTTCGAAGATGCAAATGAATAAAGGTGGCTAGTTCATATGATGGTAGCCACCCATAAAGAATAGGTAATAACTGTAGTTTTACTGCTTAATCGGAGCTTAAGAAGGAAACCACTGAACAACTCCAAAACAACAGCCCTGATTTCGCACATTTCTACGACTGCATATGAAAGTTCAAAGCAAGCAAACACAATTTAGTAAAGATTTTGGGACCCACATCACTTCTGCAATGATTAAGTACTCATTAGAATTGTTCACTGTTAACATATGGTTGTGAACGTTAGCCAAAAGTAAAGCAAAGTTCTCGCTGCAGAATTACTAGTCAAAAATAGTGACAGTGTTAGAAAGATAATTAGCTCAACACAATCAACAACTATTCCACTTTTACAATAACTTGAAGTTCATCTCACTAGAACACTAAGTTTAGCGTGAAACGAACAAATCAATAGTTGAATAAGCCCAACAGTAATGAAACACGAATTATTCCCCTTCGAATAACGGAACCTATTTAAAATGCAATTACTCAGGGAAGCATGGAAGTACGTGAATTCATTTTACAAGTGATCATGAAAATCCGACCTATAAATAGATACACAAACCCAAATAAACACTACGCTTTCAGTCTATATTCGGAAGAAACTTACTGTAGTAATGCTTTCGTTTTGTATGCTGGGTCATCCGGACGATAATTACGGAAGTCAGACACCTCTTTCTCCAAACTAATTAACTGAGCCTGTAAACGATTACGTAGATTGGGAAGAGTTTCACGGATATGATTAGTGAGCTGCTGATTTAGTATTCGCTGAAGATAGGGAGTTCCCATACGATCAGCCATATGACGATAACTGGGATGTGAAAGAAAAAATCTGCGTTCAGCTTCCAAAGCAGCACTGATATTTTTACGTCCTTCTATATCCCGCTGACTTCTATTGACAACCCCTACATAACCTACAGAAAACAGATTGTAAATGAAAGTTTAGAGAAAAGCTTAACAGACCTCATCAATTAATTACTAAAATAATCAAAACTAGTTTCAAAAAAATGATATCTCAATGAAAAACATGATAAAAACCAGTATTTTCAGTCATCTTTCATAAGCTTCAATTTATTTAGGGAATTATGAGAAGCTAAGCGTAGTATCTAGTGAACTTGAAAAACAAGTCTAATATTACAAGATGTAATAACCTTATGATACCGACTACAATTCAATAGTCTAAACATCAAAAACTCAAAGATGAAGCAATGCCTCCACTTAAAACTGTCTAGAAGAGAAGAAATTAAAAAGAAATGCAAAATATTGACATTAAACAGAGATATGAGGCAAAAAGAATAGTAATATCGACGAACAATATAGTTTTATTGGGTATTATAAGTTACAAGGAGTGAATGCAACTGAGCCACTGAGAACGATTTTGAGGCATATGCAAAACGAACCTTCTGTATACGTGCTGAGATTTCGTCAGAGATCAACCTGTTGGGACTGATGGTACTTCCCAAATGAGTGAAGGGGTCAACGTGCTCTACCACTTCACTCCCTACTTCTGAACAAGGAGTCAGTGTAGCCCAGTCCTGTAACATCATCTTATATGTGGCAGTAAGAAAATTTCTCTCTTTTAAAATAGTCAACTACTGAGTTTTTGTCAGTTACTATTGAAAAATCTACGCCTTGGAGCAAAGATCATTTTGAAGAACCACTAAAACTAGAATAAATAAAAGCTGTTAGCAGTTGAATCGCATTTCACAGAACTCAGTGAAGTCGTAAAGGGGGAAATTATTTTTCTTTGGGTGACTGAATTCTAATAGGAAGTAGAACAAAGAATTTACGTAGTTCTTCGTACAGGCAGTTGTTCGTTGTGAAAAGACTGAAATTTGGAGTAAAGCTTTTAGTAGCTAATAACGGCACCAAAACAACTACCAATAACTTCTTGCAATAAATGCGAGACTCTATTAGATATTTCAGAAAGTTTGCCAGATCAAATGCCTAAGGATTACTGTTCATCATTATACAACAATTCTGTATTTGTTATGCTGTTCAAAGTACAAGTAAATTATTCTGACTCAACTTTTGAGCGTCAAACATCTAAGTGCACATAATGGGTACTTAAAGTGCACAAATTTTGAGAAAAGACAAAAGAAACTCACCTCTCCGAAGTGGAAGTAGCCTATTCTCCAGGATTTCCTGAGCATCTGTACCATCATCCATTAAGTCCAACTTAGTTATGACACCAATTGTACGTAGACCTTGCGGATCATATTCTTTGGCAAGTTTCAAAGCGTCAGAATTAGCGAGATCAGAATTGGCAGGACTGACAGCCAGAATTAGGCATGAATCTCTCTCAATAAATTCGATTATCATATTCCGTATTTGAGTTTCTATATCGGGAGGCTGGTCCCCCACTGGTACTTTGGTCATTCCAGGAAGGTCAATGAGAGTTAAATTTAGAACTATTATATGGCAACACATTAGAGCTGAGAAAATGCAACACACCTCTTGGCGAGTGAATTCTGAGGTTGATAGGAATGTTCGAAATACCTTTGTTGGAACCAGTAACTCTTTCTGTTTCCTGTTCGATTTCCCGACGTATTTCATCAAAATCTGTAAACCTCTTGTTCTTACAATGAATGAATTCCCCATATTCAACTAGCAAAGTCGATTTATTTGATGTTTTAGCCTACCTGACTTGTCGTGTACCAGTTGCAATATAAGCGGTCTTCGTGTAACTATACCACTACCTCGTGGTAAGAAATCACTACAGCCGAAAATATTGACTTTTAAAGTACTCACCGTCCAACGAAATTCTCAAGTACAGAACTTTTACCGGCGCTCTGGCTACCTACAACTGCGATTTGAGGTAGATCAAGATTCAGTGGTAGGTTGAGAGATGCAAAAGCATCTTGAAGCTTGTTGACAAGCGGAATAAGTCTTTCCATCCCTTCATTTCCGTACATTTTGATGTGAACACACAAAAGTACGCAATTTTTGTAATGTTCACTGGTGTCTAACCTTCAGACGGTCACTTCAAGGTCGTCCCGATTTCAACACACTTAGTCGAGATAAAAAACTATTTCGAAAGATTGAACGTTCATTTAGTCTACTATATGTTCTACTCCTTAAAATACAGCAGCTATAATCACGAATGATTTGTGTCTACTATAGTGTAGATTAATAAAATAAAGTAAGCATAATAATTTTTAGTCTCGGATGTGTACGTGATTTCAAACTTTCAACCCAGAGCATCGAAGATAGCTTGAGGCGAAATATGGTGTGGTAGGAATTGCAACACACTGGAGTATCCTATAAATGTGACTCTAAAAAACACTTAATTTTCAAATAGTCCATCACTCCTCCTTGCGACTATTTACAAAAATATCTCTTTAAATACCGTCAGTAGCATATATTAAGTCATTACCCTCAAGTCATTTCAAGTATTCAGAATTGGCATGTTTTGGCATCAGTTTCGGGTAACATTAAGGAGTGAATGAAGACTCATTATCTTGGGAAATTCGAAGCCCTGCCGTGATAATTAGTCGAATCACTGACATATTAACAACCAGTAATGTAACATAATGAATTAAGCGTATTAGTATAAAGTATGTTTTACCTGTTTGTCTTTTTACTGCGTCAAATTCCAGTCATATCAAATGACACGCGTTAGACCAAAGCCTGTGACTAGTAGTTTTGCATAATTTGTATTTGAGTCATTTATCTTCCTATTCTTCTGTGTATCTGGATTCCGTTTCGGATAGTCATCTTCACCCAGTCGATTAATTATTCTGTGTATCGCCATTGTCGGCCACTCGATTGGTTAAGTCGTTCTTTTATTATGATTCTTTCTTGGCTGAACATTTTCCTTGATCATTTGTTAGTCGTTGTTTCTTCCTTGTATTCGAGCAAATGGTTTCCCTATGGAGCTAATGCACTTGAAGATTTCCCTTATTAATGTCCGGTCATAATGCTTTCGACGGGAGGACTCATACTGAATCCAAATACATGTGGTTTCAATCTCCCATTGGAATTGAATGTACTAATGTAACAAAAGAAGACAAGGGCCAGGCAACAGATCGTTTTATTATGAAAATCAACGCGTATTTATACATCTTTCAACTACATTATTATAGACAAGCGCAGTCATCTGATTGGTTGTTTAGGTAGACAAACGCAGGCTTCTGATTGGTTGTTTCGGGATTCCTTGACAAATAGAGTTCTCTCTGCGAATCATATTCTGCCACGTTAACTTTGCTGTGATTGGTTGTTGACTCAGGCTTGTTCATATTTTCTCACGGCCCATATTAGTGACCTAGACCTTAACGTAGATTAGTGCCAACCAATCGGCTAGCAGCCTGCTCTCACCACACTAACACCTCACTTTTCGTTACCGTTCCGGATTAGTTTAAAGTTGACAGTTGTTAGGTGGATTTCCTTATGAAGTAAATGGTTTATTGCATGGATACCCCATCTTAACTCTCTGCTATCCTCTTTTCCTCCTGTCTTGGAAATCTTATTTAAACTTAGGAATCTGCTTTAACTACACGTTAAAACAAAAAACAAGCTGATCGTTGAAGATGGATTGTCTGATGGTGAGTTTGTCTCACTTCATTCAGCTTCATAAGTTATTAATCACACTACTATGCAGGGAGCCCCACTGTTTTGGTTATAAATTAGAGATATTTCCAGTTCTATAAAGTTCTCCAAGTTGCATTTCTGTGTAGCTACGTACTTATTATCTAAGCCAAATTCGCCAGTATAACAGAAGCCTGGTGGTTTATGAGGTGCAGCAAGTTTAAGACTTTGTCTTAAAAGATTGTATTCAGCCCTCATTTCAGGGCGTTGATAAAGCATATCCCCTGTTTGAAGTAGCGCCAAAAGTTTTACCTTGAGGACATTTGCGCGGTCTCGTTGATTTGAGCTTGGATGGATCGTTGCGTATGATGTAGATAGCGACATTTGACTTTGTTCTGGTTTTTATTAGGCTTAAATTGCGTTAAATTCGTTAAAAAATAGTTCTCAAAAGCTCTCTCTAAGCCTGAAGGCACTCATCGTGCAGGAGGATGCTTGACAATGTGTTCCATGCCAAAATTATAGGGTGCACCTAAAATCCCTGCTGTTAACACCCGTTTGTGGCGTCTCAATGATTTCTGCAGAGTTTCGTTTTATCACTTGTGTCCATATTTTTCGTTCACGAGTGTTTCAACAAATATTTGTGGCTGTAGCCCGGAACTTCTCAAAACGGGAATTTTGGTAAGGAATTCCGCCACAGTTTAAAAGTCAATGTAACTTTGAAGTTTTTATTGTCTTCTGTTAGCGATTCGTGAATTTTTAATTCAAAAGCCTTTTGTTTCATTTACAGTGATACCATATGAACGCATTGGCACCTGGAGACAATGGAAACCAACCTGCACTTCCAATATCAGTGGACACCAAAAGATCTTTTGACGGAATTATGTTCAGTCGCCGGTATACCAGTTCGGTTCAAGTAGAAGATGCCCTGAGTCAGCTAGAATCAGTACGACATATGCATATATATGGCATAGTACTTCTAGGCAACTCATACGCATTATGTGGTGAAGAAGTGCATTCGGAACCATGAATCTCAGGAGTTGAAGTACAAATTATTAGTCTATCGTTGTACATATGGTGTCAGTCTCGTCTCATAAACCGTCAATGCCCAGCTCTCGCTACGCTCGGGCCCACGCTGTTCCTTTGAGTTTCAGAAACGCTTAGTAATAACGGACGCAAAAACCAAAACACCGATCTGCTGCTTGTTATTTCTTTATTGTTACACCAACATATAAAAGGAATAAACGAACTAAGCAAACTAAGGTCTGTAAACAAATATTACAATAATAAATCATAAGATTACTTCTGACGATGTTTCACTCTTCTTTCTGAACAGCGACCGATGAGACGATGACTGTCGTATTGATGCCTCCGCGAAAATCGAGGAAGTTGATTTTGAGCAAACAACCAAGAATTGATCGTTCAATCTTCAACTCCATTGACATATGGCATGAAGCGAAAAACTAGAGGTTCAGGTTTACGCGTCAAACCGTAAGAATTCTATTATTTATTTTTGCAGTGCAAAATACACCGGCTGCCAATCTGGGTTTCGTATACGCTACAAGGAAGATGAGTTCATCATTTGTGCCGCGAAAACAGTTCACAATCACAAATGTGAACAACGTCATATGATAGGTGATCCTTATTTTAGGCGCCTTCACTGTGGTACATCGGTCAGCATTACCTAGTTTATGTAAACTGCTAACAGTTCCTAGAGAGACAACAATGAAAAAACATTCACCTACATATCACAAGGTTACACGTCTTCGTGTCCTTGAACTTCTTTTTTCCTTGGTGCCAGCCCATGAAAAATGTGAGCTGCAGTTCGGCTCCAACAAGACATTCGTTATGCGACCAACGGAGGTTTGCACGTCCCCGTCAACCAAACTAGAAAGATCCGCCGACACATCCTGACGATATTCGTCTTGGGACAGTTTTGCCTCAAACGATGACATGACGGCGTCGCTGTCTAACTGCCATCTGCCAGAGCTCTTTAAAATTTGAACTGAATTGACGCACGAGATATTACTGTCAATGCTGTCGACAAGGTTGACTTGCGAGAGTTTAGCCTCAAGCTCAGAGAGATGTGACTCCGTTCGTGCCTGGAAGGAGTTTATGCTTGAACGTAAAGCCCTTATCTCTTTCCAAGAACCAGATGTACAATTACCTTCTCGTCAGTGCTTGGGCACCTGCAAGTAATATTTTTAAATTAAATTGAACTTACATATCCACGGGAAAGGGAATGTGGGAATTTGATGTGGAAGGGACAGACGACAAGCTGAAATGAAATTTTCTAGTTAACTTTAATATACCTTTCATATTTGTTCGCAATGGGTGGCTTTCGGAAAGGCGGTGTCTCCAACTGAAAATCCGTGTCAGCCAACAACCGAGAAGGGTAGCTCAACGGAGCAGCATTCTCCAAAAGTTTTTTTGCGGCTTTGAAACACTGGGAAGATGAGTCAAGAATAATAGCTTACCGGTTTACCCTGTATTGGCTTGCAGACTCCGTGTTCTCAGATGACGAGTCACCCTTTGTTCTTTGCAAACCTTCAATTGCTGTCTTCAATGAAAATGCCTGGTCAAAATCCCAAATAGTATACAATTGTACATATCAAAAACGTATCTTGCTATCACCCGTATATTGTGACTGAATTATGTGGTTCTATTTGTGTAACAATTTGATGATGCCTGTAAACTGGCGTCCCTCATGTACTGTACTATGAGAATAAATTTATTTATTTAAAATTACTTTCGGTTTTTGTAGGAGTTCTCCACGCCGAATTTATTACTTTAAGGACCTACACAGATTACAACTTCAATGAAATAACAGTGACGTGGAAGAAATTCCATTCTTCACTATTAAACTTAATGAAAAGAATCATGTTTTTTATTCTAAAAACGTGCTTATTCGTAATGTTTCACTTGATGTAAATACAGTTACATGCAGTACTGTACAGTTCTTATTGCAACATTGCACTAAGAACTCAGCGCAACTCGATGCACAAAGGTATACACAAATTAAATGAAAAATTATGCCCTCTTTACCTTCTAAACAACTTCTCCTTATTTCGGGATAATAACTTTCTTTCACGTATGAGACTGAGTTATGTTATGAAATCGCAATATTACTTCAGTTAAATCTTCCCCTAAAACCAAGGCCACTTGAAACCAATAGCAACAAGCGTCATTGAGGGGATATGCAATAAAGTCGCTCTCATTTCATACCTTAGTTCACATTTACGTCAAAACTAATTTTTTAAACTAAAGTTTAATAACCACGGTAATAACGGGGTAGTCACACTCCATCCATCTCTTCTGATTAATTTCTTAGTCAGTGATAAGTTTGGTTGCGATTCGTGCATTACTTGAGCGCTTTATGGCTTCCTCTAAC